CTTGCTCTCTGAGAGTATCTCGGTATAAGGGARCTGTGGGACGGTATTTCAAATTCTTTACTTGATGCTTTAAGTTTTACAGAACACTACTCAAATTGCGGGAACAGGTTTGAATCTGATTTTACACTCATGCACGAAGGACTTTATTTCTCTCTACTCGACTATTAATAACTCCAAATAATACACTAAATAAGGTCGAATTGATTAGGTCGTACTAAGATAATCTCTACCGATTACMCTGGACATAGCTATTTCAATGAGGCATCAAAGGTTTTGTCGAACGCATGACTTGAAAAGAGAAAGTGTAAWACCCAAAAATCAACGGAACCTTATCTTTATGGCACCAGACCAGGTCTGTTCAGATATTCACCATGTGGCAGAACATGGAAAATGGTCGCAATAAAGGAGCTTTATCTTTCGCCTCGTCTAAAATTTCTTTATGTGTGATTCATAGTTGAAGAGGTCCTTAAATGGATATAGGACATTCTAGCAGCTACGTTCCTATTCGCAACTAATAAATAATAACAWAGTCACCACACAAATTATCCAATACTTTCCAATTACTACTAAGTGTCCAAATACAAATAACTRCGGCCACCTCTTGAGATTTTCATAGAAGCAATTTTTATTCAGATGCACACAATTCGTGTTAAAAGAGTTAGGAACAATTTGGTTACTTCTATCAGCAATATTATTTTGTCTTCTACAAGTATTTCGTAAATATTTTATTCGGTTAATCACTGCAATTCTCGCTTAATAGTTCAAAAAATCCATCAGCATTTTAGTCAAAGGCGATCGAACTGTCCAAAGCTCCAAGAGGAAAATCAGAATGCATAGGATCAGTAGAGCTCCATAGAGGCTAAATATGCCCAGCAGCAGGAACAGTGACAATTTCACAGGCTCTTGTGATTCAGTGATCGGGTTAATCGAGCGATAACTTTTCTCAAATTTATCGACTATGCCTACTCCAATGAACTCGAGAATAATTCTGTTGATTGGCCAAAGCAGATAGGAATGTTTGGGCATATACATTGTGAGCGGCGTCATTATCAGCTTTTGCGGCAGAATTGCCACCCTTTCATCCTCCGTGGTCTGTTGATAGTTGAAATAAAGCAATGCCGGCTCGATTATAGTCAGTGCTTCCTTAGAACCGTGGGCGATTCGTTTCAATATCCTCGGCATAGTGTTTTTACCGCCGTCAATATGACCAATAGACGATTCCCCAAGCGCTGAACTCAATAACTCGGTCAATACTGGTGCGGTATTAACGGTGTAATTCTGCTCGGCTATCTCCTTAAATGATTTTAACGATGTGAGTGCGCGACCATCCTGCAAATTGATAAAAAGCTGCCCGGTATAAGCGGAGCGTAAAACCAATGTGCACAGCAACCACAGGCCCAGGAGATAACGCGAAAAGTTGCGATATGGTAATTGATTATGAATAACATTGCCGTAAAGCGAGGCCCACAGATTGCTGAACGGAATTCGATTACTGCTGCCAAAGACAAATGAAACRAGACCGTTGCTGCCTAGAAATTTGAGTGCGTATATGAGGAGCACGGCCAGCACGATATTGGAGCCAATCAGCGTCCAAATTATGAACTTAAAAGGTCTCAATAGGCGCTGCAACGGAGAGAGCGGACGTCCATGCGGTATGGCGAGCAATAAAGGAAAGCTCATGTACGAAAAGGTCGCATCCATAACTTGGGCACGTTTTTTCTCATACATTATGTATATAATCGTAATATTTGCGTTGGCCTCCGCTATCTATGGATTGGGTCGGGATTTTAAAGTTAATATCGCTAGAGCAAGGAGACTTCCTTTTACTCACCATTTTTGTGACGCCGGTAAGTGTGCCATTTTCAAAAATAGCTCCGCGATCTCGAGGTTGTGGATCCACAATTCTTATAGTAAAATTCATAGCTTCTGCTAAAATGGTGATCAGCAAGCCCTCGATACCTTCGACTGAKTTGATGCGACCGCTAACCGGATCTTGATCCAAAACTATAAATGGTGGATCGTGCCATGTCACTATGGCCAACTCACAGCCATGCAAATTGCGCACTTTAGGGGGGAAAAATATTTGGTGACCTTTGTGTTTGAACCTTGCCTGGTTGTTGCGAAACGAAAACAGTAGTTCGGGCTTGGCCGAATGACATTTGTTCGGCGTAAAAGGGAAATAGGTGTAGGCAAACGCAGTTGTGTCCATTAGCAGAAAAACGTTTACATTTATAACGAAAAGTTCGAAAAAACGGCTGAATATACGCTTAACTGTTGTTAAGCGTTCGATTTCGTTGCCGGTGTAGACGAGTACAAACAAACCACTGCGTTTGTATGTGCTCTTCGGATCCTCCAAATCCGTGGCTAGCGCACTAGAAAGTATACAAATAATAATATGGTTAGGTAGCATTGAGCTATCAACTTACTCAAAGGAGTTCCAGCTGTCGACGAACCAAACTGCGGCTTCTGAAAAATCTCCCCAGTCAGAGTGAGACTCATTGCCGAAGAGCGTTTCTTCCTCCATAAGGAAGACACGATAGTGCCGCTGCTGCAAATGTATCATCAAAGCTTCGATAAGCTGCGCCTGATAAGCGTGAGCCTGAGGGTTGCTCGCATACTGCGATATAACCAATGGTGCTGAATTATACTTCCCATAAGCGTGAATAATTGTCCAGGCAATGGCCATTACCATTGTGTAGTTTCCAGTATTCTCAAAACCACCATTCCCAAGGTCACCCAAAATCATATCCATGTCGTTTGTTACGCGAAAACAATTTTCGCAAACTGACTTCCGCCAGTCCCACATACGAACTATTTAGCATACTGTTCGGTAAGCGGCACTAGGCGATTTCGACTTTCACTTTGCATGTCTGACGCATCCGTTACACACGAAATGCTCTTAACCAGTTAAYCTAGGACGTTCCACTTCCATTAGCGTACATCATTTTACGATGGCACGCCGAATTTTTACACACCCCCACTCTTGTTGGCGCCATGCACAGCCAACATGTTGACGCTGTTGCTGCATGAGTATGATATAAGCCGATCCATTAAGATTTTCGTGATAGTGTAGTTGGCGCGAAATAACATAGATGGGTCTATAATTTTAGATAGCGATCGGCGAGGTATTTATATAGTTTATTTCCGTAATGGTGCGAACTTGTTTACAATTTGTAAATTTGCTTTACAAAATAGGTATGCTATACAGAGAAGGTCAAAGTTCAAGCTGAGAGTGTGTCGATTAAGAAATGAGGAATATTTATTTAAAATATTCGAAAGACATTTGAGTGTTCAATGGCGATTCTCTATACTTTCGTATGCAGTCCGACCCTCGAGCCCAGCAATCGAATGTTTATTCCAATTTTCTGGTCTAAAGTAAAAAATTTTGGAAGTTTGAAAGATTAAACAGTGAAAGACCCTTTACCCTTCTATTGGGAATGGTTTCACTCTTTCTAAGCTCGTCCATAAGCTATCTCAAAATTATTCTTCTTCTTTATTGGCGTAGAAACCGCTTACATGGTTATAGCCGAGTTAACAACAGCGCGCTAGTAGTTTCTTTTTTTCGACAGGAGATATTTCGTCTTGCCCTCGTTCACCACCTGACCCATTTGCTTCCATATTGGAGAAAGCAGAACTAATCAATATCATCAACATACACCAACAGCTGCACACTCTTATAGAAGATGGTGCCTTCTCAGTATAGTTCTGGAGTTCGAATTACGTTGAAGAAGTCGCAGGAAATGGAGTCACCTTGTCTGAAACCTTGTTTGGTATCGAATGGCCCGGAGAGGTCCTTCCCGATCCTGACAGAGCTTTTGGTATTGTTCAACGTCAGTTTTCACACCCATACTAATTTTTCGGTGATACTATATTTAGACATCGCGACATAAAGGCAACTCCTTTTCATGCTGTCAAAAGCAGCCTTAAAATCGACGAAGAGGTGGTGTTTGTCGATCCTGTTTTCACGGATCTTTTCCAAGATTTAGCGCATGGTGAATATGTGGTCAATTGATAATCTAGGTTTTTTCTGCTCCAGACTGGACAAGGAAGCAAAACAAATGGGTCGGGCAGTGAACGAGGGCAAGACGAAATATCTCCTGTCATCAAACAAACAGTCGTCGCACTCGCGACTTGGCGCTCACGTCACTGTTGACAGTCATAGTTTTGAAGTCGTATATAATTTCGTCTATCTTGGAACCAGCATAAACACCACCAACAATGTCAGCCATAAAAACCCAACGCAGGATAACTCTTGCCAACAGGTGCTACTTCGGACTGAGTAGGCAATTGAGAAGCAAAGTCTTCTCAAACTCAACAAATAAAAACTAACTAAACTGTAAGTCACTCATAATTCCGGTCCTGCTATGTAGTGCTGAGACATAGGCAATGACAACAACTGATAAGTCGACGTTGGGAGTTTTCCAAAGAAAGGACCTGCGAAAGATTTATGGTCCTTTACGAGATATACTCACACGACGCCATTGACATAGTTCAGCGRATTAAAAGACAGCATTGGMTAGGTCATGTCGTACGTATGGACGAAAACACTCCAGCTCTGAAAGTATTCGACGCAATATCAGCCGGACGAAGCAGAGGAAGAAAAAGACCTCCACTCCGTTGGAAAGTCCAGGTGGAGAAGGACCTGGCCACGCTTGGAATATCCAATTGGCGCCACGTAGCGAAAAGAAGAAACGCCTGGCGCGCTGTTGTTAACCCGGCTATAATCGCGTAAGCGGTGYCTACGCCAATTAAGAAGAAGAAGAAAGCCACACTGATAAGGTCCAATCAGTTTGTTGACGGTGTTCTTTAATCTTTCACACAATAAGTCGATAGAAGCTTAAGCTTAAGAATTTAGTATACTTGTAGATAAAAAAACGTGGTTAAGGCTGCAGCAACATTGGCTTCTCAGATATCCCAAAAACTAAAATGGATTTCACATCAAGGGTTTTTTTTTTTATTATAAAATTTTTTAAATGTTCGTTTTGCACTGGCTAAGCCTATCACATTGTCCATCCCCATCTGCCCCACAGCAATTCCACAAGAAATACCAGCGTCGCTAAGGCAACCAACGCCAGATACATCAAAAACAATCCACCCAGGTCGTCTAAATYCAGCGCATCGTTCTCTACGGCCGCAGCTGGATCAAAGTAACTCACRTCTAGATACTTCTCAGCCCAGTGATCGATCAGACCTTCGCTGCGCAATTGCATGAGCAAGAAATTRAACCGATCAATCAAGTAGCTATGCTTTGGGAAGTACATAGTGATGTGGTGAGCAAAGAATCGATCGGGCAGCACATAGAAAGCACCACGTTCACCCTTCGACATCACATAGTAAGTGAGATAGTCTTTTGGCGAAACGCCAGCCAACCTTCCACCTATTTGCTCCACCATTTCGTAAGTCTTCCATTCGTATGTGCTGTTGTTTAGTATAATTGGTATGTGACCGCTACGTATCAGGGGAGCCACATTCACTGTGCGCAGTGTAGACGGGGTCATTACGAGAGAGTAACCGGCTTCGATGAGTTCGAAGATAGTTTGTGGCGGTGTACGGTAGAGATCAGTTTGTAGTAGTTGATAGAGAAAGCTCTGATAGGCACTGCGCATCACATAACCATAAATGATCCACATAATCAGTACGAAACGTGTGAAGTTTGTGCGTGGAGTTCGTTGCACGGCAATACCGAGAAACAAGCTGTATGCGTTGATTAGGGGAGAACGTGGTTTCGGATAACCAATCATAATGTGGGCAAGCGCTGAGTCCTTGCTGCGATGGTATACAATATAGGCTAGAAGCATGATTAATTGGAAACTGAATAAGAGTCCAAACCAAGTCCCCGCGTCGAAGGGGAGTGTGAATATTTCCAAAGATGAGTAGGTTTCACCAGTCAAYTGGGCACCAAATATTTCCCAGGTCTGATAGTACGGCAGWGCACCAGTGAGCAGCGCACAACGTTCTACAGTGTAACGGAAGCAACCCAAACTTAAGTCCGCCATATGATCATGCAGCTGAGTAAGAAAGAGAWGATGAGAGAAAGTATGTAAGAATAATGGATTGGATAGCAATAAAGCTTTGATGAAATTAACGGAGGAAAATACTTAAGAAAGACTTATATACCAATTGCAAGGCGCCAGTTAGGCTACCATTCTCCAAGTAGCGACCGCGTTGCTCATCGTTCGCTGGCTCCACCAGCTCCATGCTAAAGTTGAGCTTCTTCGCTAATTCGACGAGCATATCGCCTTCGAAAGAACCCAACTGCGCAAAACCACTTCTATTGGGGTAGTAACTTAAATACGGCGGCGAGTCCCAGACAGCCACTGTGAGCGAACAATTCTGAAAATCCGTGAGCTTRTTCGGAAAGATATTCGTCGCCAGTGGCTTAGCCCAAGTGCCATTGTACGCATTAATTAAACGCACGTTGTTTGCCTTACACGCACTTCTATCCATGAAAGGAAAATATGTGTAGACTTCGACATAATYGGGCTTACTTTCATACAAAACGCTGACGTTGATGAGATAGTTGCGAAAGAAGTAGCTCAAGATGCTGGTGATGAGCAGATTTGGCATAAGAGATGTGTCTGGGTCTATTAGGAGTATCAAATAGTGCTCGGGGAAATCGAAGTCTTTCGTATACAATGCTGGATCCAGCTCACTGTGTGTAATGAACGATGAGTTTAGTTAGATTTAAACGATCGTTAGAGTATCTGCAAAGGCATACTCACCTTAACGCCTGCATTCCATCGATAAGCAGCAGATTGTAATTTCTTGCATGGGTTGGAAAGCGTGGCGCGTCCAAGGTTTCGATTTGCAGCTTGATGTTAAACATAAATGGCATCGCACAAGTGAGCAAATCCTGCATGAGCCGCCACGACTGCTTATGCTTCGCATGGGCGGACACCATCATTTCGCTGGAGCTTGGCACGAAGTATCTATTCACAATAGTGCTCACTGCATATCTAACATTGTAGCGTATCGTTGAGTTACAGAGGGTGTCCGGCAACTCCATGCTATAGGCCGCATCGGACTCAATCGCGTATGTCAACACGAAAATCAACACAAAATGTCCATACATGGCAACTGAAATTGGCGCGGATGTATTCGCTAGATATGTGCGTACTGTGGCGATGCTACATTGAAGACTGCCGTTATGCAAATGAGTGGAAATAAGCACGGCATGAAGGCAGTCGCATCGAACGTTGGTTAGAAGTTAATGCTTTCGGTGGTAATGGCGGGGCGTACCTTTTGACAAAACCGTTAAATTTAAATGAATGCTCTATCATTGTTGATATTACAGTTAGCCATGAACTAGAAATCAATTAGTGAGACCGAGAGAATCGGGAAAGAGAGACAGCTAGAGATTGCGTGAAAATGAGTCGAGTCTTGTTTGCTTTAATAATGTACATAATATATTCCCTGAGTGAAAGCTTAATTACTTGCTCACTTTGTTTTGTAATGGAAAAGAATGGTGGGACATAAAAAGTTGATCGTATCAGCGTAAAGGCTGTAAATATAATTGTGTTAAACTAACAAAAATAATGTGATGATTACATACTACTGTGGACAAAAACTAGTAAGGCTTTTTAATCTTAACTTTTGTGCGAAAACCTATTCGTCGAAATATTTTTTTTGCTGGGTTGGTAAAACTGTCAATGGCATCTATGCCAAATGTGACATCAAAATAATCATTAGTGTTTTGTTTTAAGTACATAAAGTACATTCGGCGATTTTTACGATGAGTGGAATTATTTAACGAAGAAGTTCCAATAAATTTTGTGTGCGGAATCAAATTAYTCGTGTCGAAATGTTCAGAATGTTGGAAAATGCCTTCGGTGATAATTGTTTTTYGCGAGCATGTGTTTTTGTTTGAGAATTTTGAGAAATGACGATTAACAGCTAGAGATCTTACTGRGATTGTTGGATTGTTGGAAGAATATGTGAAAAMTATTTTGAAAGATCATTTGGGCGTAAGAAAAGTGACAGCACGACTGGTTCCAAAATAACTAAATTTTTTCGAAAAATAGCTTCGCGTTACGTCTGTGAAACAATGTCTTTAAACGTATTATTACTGGCGATGCGTCTTGGATCCATGCTTACGATCCTGAAACAGACGTTCAATCGGCCGAATTTCRTGTCAAAGRTGAGACAAAGCCAAAAACCCATRTCAAAGCAGGTCAAAAATCAAGTTATGTGACAGTTTTCTTTAATCGAGCTTCGTGTGACTTTTGGCTATTCAGCAAACTCAAACGACTGTTTTGAGTCAATTGTAGACGTTAAACGTGAATYCCTACGCGCATTGAAGGCTCTTCGGGAAATTGACTTTAACAACTGTTTCGAGGGTTGGAAAAAACGTAGGCGCAAATGTGTTGGGGCCAATGGGGATTACTTTRAGGGGGACGACAGTCTTCCTAAACTTCTAATCGGTTCAGCGATCGTAAATACTTATTGATAAAACTGGGGACGGATATTCCGAATACTTGATCTTTGAAGTAAAGCCCTCGGCAATAATGTTCTGGAAAAGCAGCGAGATATTTTCAGGTAGGGGTCATGGTGTATGTTTGTTGAAAATAGTGAAGACAGCATATAAACAAATTCAGTTGAGGATGCAGAGCTTCAGCGGCGATCGTTTATTATTTCACACCTTCAACTTTAATATTTTTTTGTATTGATGTAACTTTCGAAATTAAAGAGCATATCAATAAGTCTAAGTATACTGCACGCGAAAGCCGATTCGACATTTTTTTTTCATCCTTGATACAAACTTTTTTATGTTTGCAGGAATTCAATCCAGTTATGTCAATGGTTGTGGTTGACAGGTGTTTATTTACTTCGCGAAAAATTTGTCTGGCGATTTTTACCATGATTAGAAATTTAACAATAATTGAAATTTTTTTGTTTCTAATGAAATTACGACTTCAGAATCGTTTTAACTGTGCCGGAAGTGTGGGAGGCTACTTTATGACGAGCACAAGTGTGGAGGGGTAGCAAACGTAACATCGAAAAAGTTAAAACAATAATGCTGGAAAACCGTTTAGTGATACCAGAGAAGTAGCAGGGGATCGCAATTTCTCTTATGGAACGACTCAACACATTTCGGTTAAGGTTATGGGTACCAAAATATCTTATTTCTTGCAAAAACGATGTGAGTAGATGTAGGAAAAAATATCGTTGATAATGTAGTTGAGAGTCCTACATACATCAAACGCTTTGTTACTGGAGACCAGGTTTGGGATTATGAGTATGAAGTGAAAATTGCCCAACATCTAGCGAATAGCGCTCTGATGGCCACCCCAGCAGAAGCTTACAATAAGCGATTGTATTAATATATTGGGTTGAAAAAGTATTTTCGTTTTTTGTCAATAGATGTCGTTGCAGTCGTATATCTCTAGTGCAACCAACAACATTGCGTCATACCATATAGTGTTGGAAAGATGAGATTTTAAGCTTCACCCAACCAAAAAAAAATTAAATTCCAAGAGAAATTGAAAAAAAAAAGTTACAGCTGTTCGAAAATGAGTGAAAATAATAAAGAAATTCTCTATATTTTGAAAATTTTTATAAAGATGGAAGARTTCCACTCAAGCCACCAATGAAATTTGTGACGATCAGTTCGAGTAGCACAACAATGGTTCGCTCTCTTTCGTTCTGGAAATTTCGGCTTACACCGATGGAATAATGCCTCTAGTGGACGATTGGCAAAACTGGTACATATTTGTTTATTTACTTATAGCATTAGTATATATATAAAAAATAAGTTAGAGTTTGATTAGAAATGCGAAAAGACTTTATCGATTATCCAATATACATATATGTACATGTATATAAATGCCGCATAACGTAAAAAGAAGATATCAGCGATTTCAAATATAGCGCAAATGATAATAAATTAAAAAAATAAATAATATCACTTTACCATCGCATGTCAATCTCTTACATTTCGAGCTAATTTGGTAAAGCTTACTATCTTTCAATTAATTTATCTATAGCTGAATGTGTTTTGTTTTTAATTTTTAATATTTTTGATTAACAACATGTCATTAACTTATTTCTAAATAAAAATTTCTATGCCGCAAAAAGTACCGCTATAAAGTGCTGTCAAATATGCACAATACTTGAAAGTTTTGAGCGGTAAGGTTTGCGTGGMCACGAGTGTATTTGAAAGTGCTAGATCAACGATATAAAATTATTATGCATTTTGTAAACTATAACCTTATTTAATAGGGTAATGTCCCAAAAACTATGAAAACCTTTGTTAAGGAATCGGTGGTCTCCGTATTTAATCAAATATAATCCAAGAGTTTTATGTAGCGACTAACGTAGTTAAGGCAAGATTCGGATTGAGTTGAGTGGTTCTGACTTAAGGAATATGTAGAACTACTCGCAGTTACTAGCACACCTCAAACGTGATAACTTCTCTACATTGCCTTCAAACTTCTCAATTTGTGTGTGTTGTTATTTTTGCTTCAAACTTTCAAACGCCCTTCGTTCACTGACTATATTTATATATTATATTATATATGTATCATGTATTACACATACATACGTCTTATAAAGTCCGATTGATACAAAACCTCAACGGGATTGCAATCAGCGTATTTTATGCGGATTCCCTAACTTTCCATTCGGCGGCACCCCGTATAAAGTTTACGCATTCTGATGTGTGTGCAGTCGGCACGCGTTGCACATGATGCACGACGCGGTGGCATGCTTGTCAGCGTAGGAAATGAAGACCTCACTGCGCCGCCGACCGCCCATCGACTATCAAGGGCCGAGCCGCCTGGCGCCAGACCATGCCCGCAACGCATTTCCATATAATGAACTTTTGCCTGATTGCCACGTGCATGAGTGCGTGTGTTTGTTAGGGAATGTTTGTGCATTWGGGTACGTGTGTTGCCACATACTGTTGCATATGAATCTGACAATGATTGTGGGATTGTCCTCTGCTGTTTCACCACACACGCAAACAAACGCGTCAATGCTTATGCATGAATGTGTGTGATCATCTGCCACATACATACATATGTATATCGGCATGTATGTATGTATGTATGTATGTAGATACCATATATTCCACTCGTATATTTTCTTTGCTGTCAACATTGCGCATTATACATGCAATGATTTAATTTCGCTCGTAATTGTGCTGTGGCAGGCAACAACCAAATAACCGCACACACATACACACACACTCATGCTGCCAGCTGTGGCAGTCCGTTGTTGGCAGCACGACATGTTGCTGCGGTAATTTTCAGTATTTCTTCTGATTTGGTGCGTGCCTGCATACATACATACCATACATATATATATATATGTGTGTGTGTGTGTGTGTGTGTGCGCGAAGTCGCTTGCTTCATCTGTTTCTTCTTCGTTATTTTGCAGTCTTGGCGCATGGGTGAGGGTTGTTTTGTTTCTTTCTGCTGATTTTAATTCAATTATTATTCAAATCATATAATTTCATTTCGCTACTGCTTTGTGGCAGCAACAAATGAAAACATATTTCACGCTGCGTTAATAAAGTGATGACACAATGCAGACAGAATTAGCACAGCTTGCTTGATGCGTGCTGGAAATTGAATTTCATGATTATTTGCCAACAATTTATTCCACATTTTATAACTGAAAATAACACGAGCTTTACTCATGTTGCCGCACAGATGCCAACACTACACATGTGTCTCTACTTGAGCGCATATTAATGAATAAGATAGTTATGATAAAAAAAAAATAAATGAGGAATGCTCAGCACGGTTCAAATCCAATGTTATTTTTATCTTTATCTCTATCCTGAACCTCATCTTTACCGTTCTTATTATTATCCTGATGCTTTTCCTTATCTTCATCCCTTTCCTCATCATTTCCTTCGACCTCATCGTTAACCTCATCCTTATCCATATCCCTATCCTTATCCGTATCCTTATCCTTGTCCGTATCCCTATCCTTATCGTTATCCTTATCCTTCCCCTTATCCATACCCTTATCTTTATCCCTACCCTTATCTTTATTCCAAATTCCTTATCCTTATCCTTATCCCTACCATTATCCATTTTCCTCGTCTTCTTCCTTATTCTTATCCTT